GGGCCGCGCTCCTCCCCGCGCCCAGCCCCATCGGAGCGGATTGTGTAGGAAAAAGTGATGACAGGGAACAAGTAGTTGGGGGGAGATCGCAGGCGCCTGGTCCCCGCCCCGGGGAGGGAGGGGACCCGGGAGCCTGTTGGGGGACACAGCTGCGAGCTGGCTTCCCGGCTCTGCACCCCGCCAGCCCCCAAGATCGGGATCTGGGTGGTGGTGGGGGGAGCGCAAGGCGCGGGATGGAGGGACCCGGGCTCGCCACCGCGATCATCGGGGAGCAGCCCCGGGTGGCCTGGCTGTGATCCTGCAGGCGGTGTCCCCTGGTGGAACGCAGGAGCCAGGGCGGAATGGAACCAGGTTGGTGATGGTGTCTGTGTGGCATCTCTGGTGGCAGCAATCAGCCAGGAGCATGCACTCCAGAGGGGACTCAAACTGTTCCTTGGAGATTTTCTCTTTTTTTGGAGAGAGAGAGAGAGAGAGAGAGAGAGCGATCGCTGGGTCTCCTTGCAGCTGGGTCCCCACATCCACAGAGCTGCCTTGATTACAGCTAAAATAGTCTTTAAGATGAAGTTTCGTGGAATGATTGGAAACAAACACAGATGGATAAAGGAGAGAGAGAGAAAAATCCTAAAAATGAGGCACTTTAAAAAAAATAAATAAAGTGAGCATTTTTCTTAAAGAACAAATGAGATTTTTTTTTCCTTTTCTTTCTTTCTCCCAGTTGGAGAGAGATTTGCAAGAGATGGATGTCATTTAGAAAAAAAAAAAAAATTAAAAAAAATCTCCTTGGAACTGGGTTGACCCCCCCTCTACTTAAGAGTCTTTTCCCACCCCACCCCACCCCCACTCCCCAGATTTCTGACTTGGGAATGTGCCCCCTTTCCTTTCAAGGACCTGAAGACCCTTCCAGAATGCCCGAGGAGACCTCTCCCAGGCGGACCCCGCAGAGCATCCCCTACCAGGACCTTCCCCACCTGGTCAACGCCGACGGACAGCACCTCTTCTGCAGATACTGGAAACCCTCGGGGACACCCAGGTGAGTCTTGGTCTCCTGCTCCTCCTCTCCTGTCCCCCCTCTTTGAACACTGGGTACAGTCATGTTACCAAAGCCGAAATTTCCTGCTTTATCATTTATTTTTATTTATATATTTTAATTAAGAAGCCAGAGTTCTCTTTCTGCGATGACAACTAGGCATCGACCGTATGTCAGTTTGCAAAAAAAGGAAAAAAAAAAAAATTCCACATGACTTGATTTATTTATTTATTTTGGTGCTGGAGTTGATTTCCTGTGGTCTAGGCAATTCGTTCATCATCAAACCCAAGAGTTAAAAACCTCCTAAATGCATAAGAAAAAACCACCATCCTGTATATATGTCACTGATGCGTGTGTCTTTTCTTTCTTTTTTTATTAGTTGTTGATTTGTTGATGGATCTTTGTGTCTTTTTTTTTAAATTAGTTGTTGATTTGTTGATGGATCTTTATTTGTGTCATTTTTTTTAAATTAGTTGTTGATTTGTTGATGGACCTTTATTTATGGATACCTGGTGCCCTGAGATTCGAACCCAGGGCCTCACGCAGGCCAGGCGAGCAGCTCTACCACTGAGCCCCGACCCTAGGCCCAATGTGTGTGTGTCTTTTTTGTGGGGGGGGGGCGGGGCTTGTCTTTTCCTGTTCAATGTGGACTTCGGAAGGTGACATCCGGGTAGAATTGAGAAGAAAGGGGTCTGGGTGTCTCCTTTGATGCTTTGTTAGGTTACTTGGTGCATTGGCTGTCGAGGACCCGCCTGGGGACTCGGGTACCAGGAGGCCACCAACCAGTGTCTGGCTTCTCTTGGGTGAGGCAGGAAAACCCTGCCTGTTTGTGTTATCTGGGGAAAAAGAGAACAGTGTGCAAGACAGTTGGCCGAGTGACAAGTGTGAAATTTCCTTTGCCCTGTCCCTGTTGACCTGCACTAGAGGACTCTTGTCTCCTAGTTGGGGGATCATAGGATGACCGCCGGGGATCGTCCTCTATTGTGTCTCAGTAATGACGCGGCTGGACATTTCCCACCCCCCATCCCCATAGACCTTCAATAAAGGTGTATCTAGGTAGCTGTCAATTCAACACCCCGAGATGGGGACGGCTAAAGTCCCTAGGTGACTCCGGATGGAACCCAGGGGCACCTTCCCCCAGAGTCGCATCTCCAGTCCTATTTATTTATTTATTTAAAAATTTGAGACAGCGTCTTGCTCAGTGGTAGAGGCTGGCCTTCAACTTGCCATCCTCCTGCCTCAGCCTCCCAAGATTTTTTTGTTGTTGTTGAGATTTTTTTTTTTTTGCTTTTGGTAACCGGGGATGGAACCCAGGGGTCACTTAAACCACTGAGCCATATCCCCAGCCATCCCTCCCCTCCACGACACACACACACCGCCAGTTCTCATGTTTTATTTGAAGACAGTGTCTTTGGCTGGAATGATAGACCTGGGCCACCGGGCCCGACTTTCCTATCAGTTACTTCTTCAAGAATTCCCTCGACAGGAGGGTCTATCTCTATGTGCATGGCATTTTGGAGGGAGAGAGGGAGAGGGGAAAGGGGGGGTCAGGCATTAGGATTCGAATTAGGGTTCGAATCTCAGGGCACCACGTAGACATAAATAAAGGTCCATCAACAAATCAACAACTAATAAAAAAAA